ATGCTGAAGGCATCAGGGCTCAGAGTGTTCCTTTGCTTCCTCCAGCTCGTTCAAGACATTGCCAGGCTCCGACGCCGAAGTCTGCGTCACTCCCGACAACTGGACTTCCCCAAGCCCTACATTGCTGCCCGTTTCCGCTCCCTCCCCTCCCACTTCATCTTGGGGGACATGAAGCACTACGACAACTTCGAGAATAGAGCCCTGGAGCCAGGGCAGAAATATGTCATCTTCATCCTGGCAGTGCTCCAGGAACCTGAGGCTGTAAGTGCTGCCTGCTTTCTCATGCCCTCTTCAGATTCTTGTGCCCCTCTGTCCCCATGATCGACCAGAGACAGCAGCTGCTCCCTCGAGAGCTGCCAGCAGCCTTGGTGCACTCCTGGCATTCTCTGTAACTCTCTCCCACCAGGTGCCAGAGCTTGAGGTTTTTTTTCTTTGTGAAGACCTTCCAGTCCAGCTGTGGAGCTTTTGCATGTGGCTGTTGGAGCTGTCTGTGCTTCTGTCTGCATGCAGCAAACGTGCTCTTCCAAGCAGACAGGCAAATGACGCAAGCATCTTGTGCACTGCTGCTACATTTTGCCAGTCTTCATAGGCAGGACTTGCTACACTTGGGGCTCCAGATTTGAATCCAGAATGGGGAGTATTGAACTATCCACTCAGGACTACACTCGAGTTCAGAGATCCCCAGGTCAAACCCCTTTACAAAGAGTAATGTCTTGTAAAGGCTGTCCTTGTATTCCTTAGAGCAGTAACCCTAGACATCCTGCTTTGAGAGCAGCATGTCATATGCCCTGGTCATTACTAAGTTCCCTGCCAAGCAGAGAGGGGAGCATTTTTTTATGGAAAACTGCATGTGTTTTCTGCTCTTTTTACCACTTCAGCACCTCTGCTGATTTCAGTGGTGCTGTGTTTGGCTTTATGAAAACAACTGTTTGAATATTTACCTGCCCTCCTCCCTCATGCACAATAGGAAGCAGTCTAATACTTTTTTGTTTTTAAATCCCCCTATGGAGTTACAGCAGGGAGCTATTTGAAATTAAGGATTTTCAGAGGGTTTTTCCCCAAATAAATATTTAGTTGTGTATTTGATATTAAAGGATTAGGCTGACACGCTTCTGAATGGGTTTCTCAATCGGATTACTGCAGCTTGTAGTAATTTCTGCTTTAGAACAAGGTACTGCATACTCACTCACAACGGCCTGGATTCACAGCAGCTCCCAAGCATGTAGCAGTTTTTCAGTCTTGGTGAGAGCTGATAGAGTTCAAGGACCCAGAGCCCAGATCTCCTGTTCTTGTCCTGTCCCAGACTTTTCACTCACACCAGGGCATGCTGGTTCTCCTCTATGCATTTCAGTTTCTGTAGTTTCTGTGTAAGATGGGAGGGAATGAAGCCTTCCTGGGGTGGGGAGATTGTAGCACTCATGAGAACAAGCAGGCGATGCCCATTAGTTAGGACTCTGATGGGTTTGAATGTGCCTCTAATTCTCCTCAAGAGCCCAGCTCACTGCAGAGGGAGCAGAGGAGACATATTGCATTTTATTAATTTATATTTAATTGTAAGGGTTGGTTTTTTTCAGTCACAGACCAGGCGGTTTCTAAGCATTAATTCTTGTTTTAATCCCTTCCCTCTTTCTCTGTAATCCCATCTGACTGTCAAAATCCAGATGGTTTCATGAAAGCTTGGAGAAAGTGTTTGTGGCAGTGGAGAGGGCTCAGGGATGTGGTGGAACAGAGGCATAGTCAACTGGTTTTCTAAAAGCACCTTCTTGGCTACAAGATTAGGTGAGCCATAGGCATAAGCCAGTCTACAACTTCAAGTGAATGTGATCTTTCAATGGTCTTTCTTGGCTGGAGCATTGGAGGAGGAAGATACCTGTCACATGGATGCTCACAGACAGGAGTTTTTTCTATAGATTGAAGAGGGCATTTTCTCTGTTATTATTTGGTTTGTTCTGCAGAGAGCTCACATCCTCTCACGCAATTTCTCTTGTGCAGTACCGTATGCTTGCCCATTGTTTTCAGTCCCCATTCCATCTCTGAACTCTGTTCCACAACCTTTCGTGTCTTCCAGACTTTTGCTGCTAGTCCTTTCTCCGACCCCATCCAGCTGGACAACCCTGATCCACAGCCGATCATTGATGGAGAGGAGGGCCTGATCTGGGTCATCGGGCCCGTCCTGGCCGTAGTGTTCATCATCTGCATTGTCATTGCCATTCTACTCTACAAAAAGTAAGAGATGCTTCTTGCCCAGACCTGTGACATTTCTGAATGTCCCCACCTCTAGCCCCTAAAGGGAATTTCCTCTTTGGTCCTATAGTTGTCAGCTGAGGGCAAATCCAGCACCAGAGAGAGGAGCCCTGAGGCACAAATGCTGAAATGGAAGGGTCTGACTGGCACAGGAGAGATTAGCAGTGGGTTGCAGGGACTTGCTGCTTCCAAGTCTAGCCCATGGCACTCTCAGTAAAGCTGTGCTTGTCTGTAGACAGTCTGTTGTGGCATGTGTGCAATGAGTTTGTCAGGTGTCTCACCTGTTTCCTCCAGAAGAGCTGCTCACAGCCACACCTCGGGCTCCCCTTCCTGTGCGCTCTGTGTGTGTGTATGCACAGTGGGGGTGATGCAGAGAAAGCACCTTTGTGCTGTGGATCAGCAGAGGCCTCCATTGCTCCCAAACTGGTTTTCAGAGTTGGGAGACAAGAGCGGCAGCAGCAGCGGTGTAATGTGAGTCTGCAGCAGAGAGGAAGGAACAACCCCTGGAAATCTCTCCCTTTTCCTTGGCTTTCAGAGCAGCTCATGGTGCGTGGATGGTAATGGGTGCCCCTTGAGCACACACAGGCCACACTGTGCAATGAAAGAGGACAGGAAAGGAAGCAGATGCTGAGCAAAATAGATCAAGAAAAGGGGCAGGACGGCAGTTATGGACAATGCAGGGGTGTCCTTAGCTGAGACACCTACTACCCAGGATGGAGGGAGCTCTCTTAACCCTGCTCCATCTTTCATCTGCACAGGTGTGTTTGCTTATGCACGTGGGTGTGTCTTTTGCATCCCAGCCTGTGTGAAGCTGCTGGACACACAAGTGCTCTGGGGTCAGGGACTCAGGTGGTCCTTGTTGCTGTTCATTAGCACTGATCTAAATGGGTAATCTTTGCTGGTCCCACCTTCCACCTGTGTTACCAGGGTTAGAGCTGAGCAAATGCTTCCCCTTTCCTCTGCAAGTCCTTTCTAACCTGAACATTTGTCTTGTCTTCTCTCCATTTACTGCTTTCCTGGACAGCAAGCCAGACAGGTAAGAGCACCAGATTTGCCATTTACTTAGGTTCTTTCTTGCTGTGTGTTAGAGAGTGTTTACTGTCTGTGGTGATGGGGCTTTGTTGGTATAGTTCCTACCATTAGATCTGTCCTAACAGACACCATGTGTCAGACTAGCACGGGACCGTGTTTGAATCAGAGCAGAAAAAGCAAAGAAAGCCCCGCTTTCTCCTGCTTGTCCATTCCTAAATATAATGGCCCTTTCTCAAGCTGAGCAGCAGTGACAGTAAAAGGCTCATAAAATGTTGGGTTAATGGAGCAGAGAAACACCCATTTGTGTTGCAGTCAGAGGTGAAAGCGGGTTTTCTCTATGTCTGACTGCTCTGTACAGGCTGTCCCTGAGCCACTGGTATACTGGAAGCAGAATCTCACCAGCTGAGCTGTCCTCACCCCGTTGCAAAAGCTGTTCTTGCCCCATCAGCCAGGAACTTCTAACAGAGTTCGTTTATGACTGCAAAAATGAGACTATTTTGAACCATTTCCAAGGCTGGGAGAACTTTCACTGGAAGTAACTGATGGATTTAGCCAATGAACTATTAACAGCAGTTTCAGAACTGCAGCAAAAATAAACTACTCCCGAACTGCGAAGTGGTGTAATTCCAAAATGCTGCCCCATGCAGTGCTGGCAGGGCTCATGCCACTTTTCTAGATATTAATGACTTTAAGAGACAGCTAAAAATGTACTGAATAACCTCCTCTCTGCCTAAGTAATTGCCATTATTGCTGCAGGGATATTATTGGAGGCTTCTGTGCAACCCAAGCGGGAGGGGCAAGGAGCTCTACAGCCATCTTGCTAGAAGGGCGAGGACAATATTTGCAAGCCTCAGGGTGCGGGTACACATTTTCTGCCCGCTGGAGAAGTTCTGCTCCCAGCAGCTTGTCACTGTTCCCTTGCCAGAGGTTATCACATCTTTGGATCAGCACTGGGCTTTGCTTCCAAATTCTTTTCAAGGAGAATGAGCCAGGTCAGCAAAGACTTTTCAACTGCTTCAGCTAACCTAACCCATTTTGAGCAAAATATATTAGGAAGCACTTACATGTGCAGTTCAGCTGGCAGGTTGGTGCGGGCTTCAGCTTCTGGCAAGGAGGTGAGACAGATCTCAGCAGGCACAGCTGTGATGGGAGAGGATGTGTCTACACTGTTTTTTGAACCTAGATTTTTAGGGTTCTGCAGATCAAAAAAGGTTGAAGACCACTGCTCTGACTTCTCTGTCTGCGGCAAGGCACTGAGAGCTCCTAAACTAGCCAACAGAGCAATATCAGTACTTTATGTCCAAGGTCATGGGCAGGAGGTTCTGTACTTTTCCAAATGATTATGTTGGCTGTGGTTCTTTCAGGCTGAAAATGGCTTGGCCAGAATTGGAAGGTTTCTGCTTGCAGAGCTCTGCAGAGTTCAGTGCAGGCTTGTCTGTGCAGGGGAGCTGAGGTGTGAGTTCACAGCACCTCAGCTGCTCCTTGCTGCCTGTCTGTACTTCTGCTGTGAGAAGGGGGAACTTCCAGACTTGTCTGAAAGCTGCTGAGGGGCTGCTGGGCCGTTGTAAACCCATCAAATACAGCACTGACAAAACCTTCCAAACCTCATCCCTTTTGTGATGCATTTTATGTAACTTGCATCCTTGGCTGTATCTGGCCCTGATTTCAGTGGGAGCTATACTCAGGTCTGAACATGGCCTGAGTAGCTGAAAAGACTAAAAGGCCCGTAAGCTAAGATGCTTTGTCTTTCTGGTTTTTTTTTGTTTTTTTTGTTTTGTTTTTTTTTTTTTTTTTAAAGCAAACGGAAAGATTCAGAGCCACGGACGAAGTGCCTCCTGAACAATGCTGAAATCACCCCTCACCACCCTAAGGACCCTGTGGAAATGAGGCGCATCAACTTCCAAACTCCAGGTAACCAGCTGCAAACCAGCCTTTCTCACTGGGAAGGCAGGAGTGGAGCAACTGCCCTTTCCTTAGCCCCTTCCTGCCTGCGTGAAGGCTGCGGCAGTGCTGCCTTTGAGACCTAGTGCTAACCTAGGATGCAGCCAAGGAACCTCAAAGCCTTGTCTATGCTAAGCAAGACTGCTAAAAGAAACCTTTGCTGGGAAACCTCAGGGGCCTTGCACAGGCTCTACTCAGCACTAGCAAGGCAGGAAGAAAGGCTTTCCTGGATACCCAGCTAAATTGGTGCATTCTGGGCTAAGTACGCAACTGCAAGTGCCATGGCCGTGCCAAGCTTGCCAGACCACCAATGCTGCTGCGCAGTGCTGTGCATTGTGCTGGGAGATCCCCAGGGGTGGATCTGCTCCAGCCACATGTGTAACTGGCACTTTCTGCATATATGCCAAAACACTCATGTGAGGAGTCAGGCCTGCCCCTTGGGTTGTGGGGAGAGAGAAAGGCAGCTGGTTGCTTTGTGCAGACGAGGCAGCGTCTCCTCGCTTAGTGCAGGTGCCATCACTGCAAACAGCCACTGAGCTAGTGTCTCACTGCACTTAACTCCTGGGCAGAGAAGCTCGGTGCACCCTCCTTTCTGTACACGTGTGTCCCCCTGTAAATGCATGTCTAAGCTGCCTGCATGGCACCTCTGCAAGCCAACACTGACACGGCCCGGCATGGACATGTCCTCATGCAGACAGACACTTGGTGATGCCGAACAGTGCCTGCTCACTGGTACACACCTCTGCCTCTGAGTTTCTGGTGCTTGAGGATTTGGAAGGGAATTTATTGCGCTTTTTGGGGGCTGGCTGTTGTTTTCAGTTTATTTTTTTGCTGTTTTGTGCTTGTTAGTAATGTTTCTGCAGCTCCTGTTTCCCCTTGCCATCCCAGTCCTGTCCTTAGTGTTGTCTGAGTATTCTTAGGGTGAGGTTGGCAAGTCAGTAGGTACCCAGAGGGCAGGGATCTTTGGGGAAGCATAAAGGCAGCAGTGAGCTGAGGGTTTCGTATCAAAAAGAGTTAGGAACAACCCATTGGTATCAGCCTAAGCTTAGGAATGATTAAGTCTCAGCTGAGGGATGGAAGCAGGTTTAATCGAGTATGCAGGGACTAAATGCAGAGCAGTTCAGCTGCAGTTAGGTCGCTAAATCAGCTCTTACTCAGTGGTACTCTTGCAGGAGAGTCTGAAGGTGTTTGAGATCTGCAGTAGGAGAGCAGTCTGCTGTCTCTCTGAGCGTGTGAGGGACTGAGCAGAGCACTGCTTGGAAAGCTTGAGAGAATCTGCTGTCCTAGCTGTTTCATCCTTTGTATAAGCAGCTTCTTCTGAGTGTCCCCAGCTGCAACTCAGCAGCAGTTTGCATTTGTCTGGGCTTAGTGTTATATACAGGGTGCAAACAGGAGCTCCCTTTGGAAGTGTTCAGGTTGGCTTCTGGGTGCTCGAGGTGGTGATGAAGACCCAAGAGAGAGAGCTGCACCCCCCATGTGAAACCTATGCTGAGACAAAAGTAAAGATAAAAGGTTGTGGCCATCCAGCTTAGCCTGGGTGTTGAGAAGCAGCTGGGAGTGCTGTTTCATGTGTTTCCCTTACTGGGTATTTCTCCCTGTCCCCACAGGATAGTGGACTCAGCTAAGGGCACTTCTGAGCTTCAGTTAACGTGATCAATAGATGAGTGAGTCTGTCTTCTGTTGACCCTGCTGTTTTGGTCATGCTATACCTCTGAATTCTTGGTCTAAGAGGCTTGTAAAAGGTAGCTAAGACATGCAAACCTGCAATTAAGGCTCTGCCTGGCTTTGTCCGGTCTAGCCTTAGAAAGATGCTGCCACCTTTTCTGTATAAGTTTATCTAGCCAAAGACTTTATCTAGCTAGTTTATTCTGCTATGTAATTTGTAAAGCAGTAAAAGGTTTTAAAGGCTTTGGGAGAGTTGGTCACCTGCCTCCCACAGAATTTTGCCAACAGTTGGGTGAAAATGGAAATGGATGGAAAATCCGAGCTTGAAGTGTGTTGGTGATGATGGAGAGATTGTGGTGCAATTTGCAGGGAGGACTCCATAGGAGCTGTCTGAATTAAAGCCATTTGAACTAAAGATACTGCGGTTTAGAAGAGGCCTGTAGGCTCTTCTCCAGCCAGGTGACCCAGGGTCTAGCAAGCAGAGTCTCTATCCTGTCCCCAGCAGCAAAACAGAGGGGGGACGTGGGAATGGGAGTGTGCGTGAGCATCTGTGTAGCTCGGAGAGGGGAAAACATAGCACATCCTAGATATCCTGTCCTCGCATAATCAGCACAAAAAATAACTTTCTCTTCCTCTTTAGATTTATGTTGATTTTTGTTTTTTTATTAGCATGAAATTTTTTAAAAAGTGTATATTTTATTTATTTATTTTTTACTGTTTTCTGCAGATTCTGGTCTGAGCAGCCCTCTCAGTGACCCTGAGTTTGACTTTGAAAGTTAGTTCCTGTGTGTTTTTGTTCCTGTTGGTTTCATTTCCCCCTCCTTATTATTTTTTTTCTCTTCTGTCGCTTTCCTTTCCAATTCTGTTTCGTTCCTGTTACCGTTTTTTTTGCCGAATTCTCTGTATTCCTGCGGTGTTTGCCCATCTCATCCCTTTTCTGTGCCATCTGTTTGTCTGAACTGCGCTTCCAGTTTTACAGTATCAAATAACAGGCCTTTTGCAAGACAAGGGTAGCAGCAGCAGCAGCAGAATAGAGTCCCTGGTAGCAGCGTGGGACACTGTCCGTCCTTCTGTGTCTCTTTTGCTGTCCCAGGAGAAAGACCTGGCTTTCCAGGCTTCCTTTTCTCCCCATTGTCAAAGATGTTTCATTTCTGAAGCTTGGCTAAATGTCCCTCATACTTATTCATGGGCAGAAAGCAATCTTTTGTGCACCGGTGTGTGAGCGTTGTATGTGTGCGTGCCTGTGTTTTTGTGTTCGTTGCTTCGTAATGTGGGAAAAGAAGAAGATGGAGCTGCAGCTGACAATCCCCTCGCTCTTTGGAGAGAGCCGCCCAGGCACCTTTTCATGTCAGATGAGGAAAAGGGCCATTTCCTATCTGTGGCAGGTGTCTGTTCCTTGGCATCAACTTGTTCCAGGAGCACACAGACCAGAGGCCTCTTCATGGTCCTCCACATCCCCTGGGTTTCATGCAGAGTGCCATCCAGCCGTGGTGATTTTGCAAGGATAAATGGGCTCTGGCCCATGTAACAGATGTTAGGGTGATGTTTCTTGTGAGTTGGCTGGTGTACAGAGAATCAAGTCTTTTGTGGTAAGATTAGACAGATTCAAGTGATTGAAACGTTAGATGAAACTGGCTCTGAAAGACTTCATCCCCATTGGAAGCCAAGATCCCAGCTTTGCTCGGTGGGTTTTGGGTTTGATTTTTTTTTATTTTTTATTTTTTATGCTGGGCAGAAAAGTAGATGTGAGGTTTTAGCTGACAAATGGGAAGAATCACAGATGCTGCTTGTGCTTGGAGATGTGAGGGCTGGGATATTTTTCTGAATAGTTTAATGCAAATATTGGTCTCTTTGGTATTGAATACTCCTGTCAGTACTGCCCCAGTCCACCTGTCACCCCCCCTCAACCCCCTTATTGTAACAGAGGGGGTTTGTGTGGTTTTTTTCAAGCCACACTGATCCTTGGCTGCACCTCAGCCCACAGCAGTGTTCCCTCTGCCACCCTTGCCGCTGCAGGAGGTCTCCCTGGGTGGCAGCCCCGCAGGTAGCCAGGAAGCCACTGAGCAGAGGAATCGGTGAGCCATTTCTCTTCATATTTAAATAAGAGTTATTGAATTAAAGCAGACAAAAAAGAAGCTGCTGCAGCTGACGCAGCAGTTCTGGCTGGTACCACTGGAAAGTACTGCTCCTGGCTCATTTAATACCAAACTCCTCCTGGATCTTAATGGGAACCCCGATGCACTTGGCATTTTGACCAGGAAAGTGTTTATCGCTGCAGAGGTTTCTGGTCTTCTTTTGTTATAAAGAGCCCTAGAAATCGATCCGACAAGGAGATTTCTGTCTTTAACAGCAGCAAAACAAGGCAAGTTCCCATGTGCTCTCAGCCAGTGTCTGTTTACAGCGGGGTGGAGGTGAGGGCAGGATGTTCCCTAGCAAAGAGACAGAGCTGGTTTTCAGGAACCAGTCACACTGAGGATTTTTCCTGGAGCTTTTATGAAGGAAACTTGTGAAACGCCTTCAAGGGGAATGTGACTTCTTGTTCCAGATTGGCACAGTGGGCCTTTCCCATGCAGCTCACTCACTCAGAGGGAAGGACAACATATTGCTCCATGACTTCTAAGCCAAAGAGAATCTGGGAGTTTTTTTCTTGCTTGCTCATTATTACTGGGTTTTCTGGTTGTTATTTTTTTCCTTTTAACCTACGTGTTCATCATTTGGGATTTCATTTACGGCACTATGTTTCTAAGCATACTTCAGCAAATAATCTCCAGGTTTTTGCGGCAGTCAGGTGGTGGGAGCTGGGCCGAGAGCTGCCTGGCTGCCTCCCAGCCCAGGTGGGAAGAAGTCAGTGAGGGGGTGACCAGCAGAGATCTGGAGACAGCTTATTGAGTTACCAGAAGTGTTCTGAGCAGGGTTTGGCTTTGCTGTAATGCTACAGCTCAAGGTATGTTTGCTGCCCTCTTCAGCCCTTACTTTCAGCGGCAGAACAACAGACACTGAGAAGAGTGTTTATAATACTAACTTGGTTTGGTCTCTGATCTCGGGCATCTCGGTCAGTGTGGCCCTCCCATCCTATGCGGGCAGAGAGAGGACCAGTTCCTCCAAACGCCCCCAGTCTGCATCCACTGCTGTGGTACTGGGGTGGATGGCAGCCATCTTCCAGTCCAGGGTGGGAAGCAAAGGAGAAATCCTTTTCCAGGTGCAATGGGCTACAGGACAGCAAAAGATTAACTAGGAGCTTCTCCTCCATGAGCCGGGAGAGACTTTCTGCCCTGATCCTCAGCAGAGTAGAATGGAGCCAGCGCAGCCTCGGGAATACTTCGGGATTATTTTTGTGAGCTTTTTTTGGTCTATTCCCCCCCACCATCTATTTTCAGCCAGACTTCCTTGTGCTGAAAATAGATGTCTAGTTAGCTCAGGAGAAACCTGTTGGAGTGGTGGCTCAAATCCCCACTCTGTGGCAGACTCGTCCTGTCCCCAGGCCTGGGAGAGGCAGCATCTCTCTAGAAGTCACTGTAAAACTGAGGATGTCATGCTTGCTTTGCCATCTCTGTGCTGAGTTTTCAGAGTATCTGACCGTGCTGCTGCCACCGCCGCTGCTTTGTCACACACCAACACCACGGGGCTCGAAATTCTCCCTGGCTTCCATCTCTTCTCCACTCCTGTCCTTCTCATTGGGGGCACTGCCCAGGGCTTCTCAGCATGCTGCTGTCCTTGCCCGTCCTTTGTAGCGGGATCGGCTGGCAGACAGCATGGGAAGCCTTTGGAAAAACATGATCCAATGCAGATGAGCAAAGCAAGGAGCGCTTTTCCACCTCGATTTGTAGCTTAGCTATTTGAGATGATAGGACGGGAAGGATCCCTGCTCTTTCCAGAGCTCCAGCTGCCCTTCTCGGAGCAGGATGTGCAAATCACACTTCAGATTGAAACCCAGGTCTGCCTTTGCTGTTCAGCCCCATTCGTGGCTGAGATGTGCCTTCAGTCTGCCCAGTCTGATGCAGCTTTGCTCTTCCACTACCAGTACATCTCAGAGAAGATCCGAGTCTGTTCTCTGGCAGTTCTGTCTGCCTCAGTACGAGCACGACTAAGTGTTGGTGAGAATTGCAAGGGCAGTAGGTGAACGAGGGTCATGAGGCATCAGTCTCCCCAGCAAATTGTTTCCCATCCCCCAGACTGAGAAGGGGCAAGAGGATCTTTTGCCTCTCCATCACAAAAGGTAATGACATCCCCATCAGAGACTGCAACGGGGTTGGTACAGCCTGCCCCGCCGGTGGAAAAGGGAGGGTGAGGACAGAGCAGCGCTGGCCTTCTGCGGGCCGTGCTCTAGAAGGAACATCATCCACCGGCCATGAGTGGGAAGAGGAGCTAGTGCTTGACATTTCCATACCTGGTTGCACTCTTGGAGCAATGAAGGTTAGACTGCTGCGTCCATGAGCTTACCAAGAAACTTACAGAGCCAATGTGCAAAGGACAATTCCTGAAAAGCCTCCCCTGCTTCCCCACATCTGCATTCCCTTTCCCTGCCCCACATCACCATGGTTGGCTGGATCCCTGCCCCTTCCCTTCTTTTGTGTTGGAGTTTGTTTATGATCATTGCGGGTGCTGTAACATTTGCTGCGTAGGTTCCTCTGGCAGCGTTTGCTCATTTTAAGTCCACTATTGGAATCGCTAACATGCATCTGCTCTTCGGATTTTCCTTTTTGTTTTGCTCTGATTTACATATTGAAAATGGGGCCATCACGGGAACACTCTCATTTTACTGTTTTTTTTAATTTCCTTGATTTTTATTTTTTACTTCCAAGGACACAATTTCGAGCCCTGAATTCTTCTCTTCTAACCTTCCTACTTTCATTGCAGATCTTACATTGTAATTTTTTTTCTTTTCTTGTTTCTTCTTTCTTATAAAATGTGCAACAGTTGTGAATTTTAGTTACTATTAAATGAGATTCTTTTCCTGCTGTCTTGTCTTTTAGGTATGCTCAGCCACCCACCAATCCCCGTTTCTGAGCTGGCTGAACACACAGAGCATCTCAAAGCTAATGATAACCTGAAATTGTCCCAAGAGTATGAGGTATGAGCAAGAGTGAGTGCTGTGCATGGGTTTTCAGAGCCAGGGAATTAGGAAATTCAGACAGGCCCTCATCCAAATAAACATAGCTTCATTTTAAGGATCTGGTTAGTTGAAATAAAAAAGCTATTTATGTATTTAAAATTAAGTACTTGCTCAGTGCTTTGCTAGATTCGATTCCAGATCATAGAAAAGAAAGAGGCTTGGTTCATGAGCTGTTCCTGTCCAAAGAGTGGGCACCTTGGTCAGGGTCTGGGCTCCCTTCATGAAGGGGGATGCATTTCTAGAAGATGACTGCCAGACCCGTGGGATGAGGTGTTGTCCTTGGGGGTGCCTGTGTCTTGCTGCTGAACACGGAGAGGACCAAGCCAAGGCATGCGATACCCAGTTTTAGATAGCTGAAGTTAGGTGAGATGAACAGTAGTCACAGTTGAGGTGATCAGCAGCCAAAAGAGCTAAAGCTGAGAAAACAGGATGATTTGTGCCTTTCTTGTCTTGTCTGGGGTTTTTGTGCTCTTTTTTCTCCTTCCTGCTAATGTTGGTTACTCAAATGGGTTCCTGCAGGTGACCAGCTGTGGCTGCTGGACTTGCATTTCAAATGACTATCCCAGACTGTAAAAGTCCCACCTCGCTGGGGCTGACGGGTTGGGCCAGTCCCAAGGCAGACTGAGGGGGGAAGGCGAAGAGCATCGTAGCCCCCACGTTACCGCTGCCGCTACATAGCATGGCATCCTTGTCACCCGACGGGGAAGGGTTCTGTGCTTGCACAAACCTGCTCCTGTCCGCTTGCGGTATTGTGGCTGCATCAGCACTGGTTAAATCCCAGTGCGAATGCCCAGTGCTGCCAGGGCCATCGGCATGGGGGTTGCTTTCATTGCAGATTGAACATATGACTGAATTTTTTGTTGTTGTTGTTCAAAGACATAAAACGCCCCAATATTTTTAGACTAATAACTAGTCTAGACTGCCTAGTTCTGTTTGCAGGCAGAGAGCGAGGGGATATTTTCTGAACAAAGGACTGGTTCTGGGACGCTTTCTCCCCGGTCTGGCTTGCAAACATCAGCATGCGTGAAGCAGCTCTGTACTCACAGCTCCGCACCCACGGAGGAGGGGGTGCATGTTGGAGAAGGCACATTTGCTCTGCTGGGGTCTTTCACCCCACGTTGGGGTGAGGGGGGAGCAGCAGCCTGTTAATATGCTCTACCCAGATTTCAAAGACTGATTTGCATAATGTAATATCCCAAGTGCCCTGGCTTCGTTCCAGCACAACCTCCTCTAGTGGGAGAGCCAGAGCTAAACAAACATCGCTAATGAAATGAACGCGAGGCGAGATTAGAGGGATAGAGAGCAAACAGACACATTACAACAGTATAAATACCGATTAGTTAGAAATGCTCCGCAGCGAGAGTGCAAGAGGACGTTGGTGTCGGGTGGTTTTGTACCAGCTGAGCTGTGTCCGGGGGGCTCTGGGGTCAGCACAGGCAGGGGAGGGCAGCGGGAGCGGGTGCCTGGCAAGGCCTGACCCCTGCGAGCTCAAAGGGACGAATCCAGGCGGGCGTGTGCGGGACCCTGTCCCCACCAGCCAGGAGTGGCAGGCAGGGAGAGGGAGAGCAAACAGCGGGAAACACAACTCGGCACGCTCCTGCCAAGCCTCCAATTGAGGCAAACCCCTAGGGCTCTGCAAAATGATGAAGGAATTAAGCCCTTGTTTTATTTAATTCTCTGGCTGAGGATTTAGAGGTAAACGTAATTAACCTAATTTCCATATCTGGGACAGCTGGACTTCAGGAAAAAAAAAACCAACCACCAAACCTGGCATAAATTACCAGGACAGAGAGAGAGGATTTTTCTCTCCAGTGCATTTCATTGTTTACTTCTTCATCCCTTATAGGAAAAAGCCATGTTGATACCGTTTCTTAGGGCCAGGGTCCTTACCTGTTCTCTGTCCGGGGAGATGCACTCCTCCCGCCCCACTGAGCAGGCAGGTGCCTGCCCCTGCCAGACTCCCGTGGTGCTTTCTCCCCCCTTCGCACCTGGGAGACCTTCGGCACTGAGACTTTGTGGTCCCAAGTCATGCCGTCTCTGCTCTTCCTGGAGCAGGTCCCCTCCTGCTGCCCATGACAGCAAGGTTTTTCTCTGATGTTTCATGTCCCACTTGCACATGTGGTTATAAACCTTGTCCTAGCTTAAATATCTTCTTCTCCAGGTATTAGTACTCACCAAGACACTGGTATGTTTATGCCCTCTTAATCATTGTTTAGTTTAACCATGCACAGATTTAGCCTCTTCATCATTTCATAAACACATCCTGATGTGATTGTTCCTGTTCTCTCCCAATTGCCGTCCGTTTATCAGTGTCAGTAACGCAGGGCTGTAACTAATCCGGTGCAGCCTCAGCAGAAGTATGATCCAGGGCCTCTGTATTGCAGCCTGAAATTGCACTGATGCTTTTGCCACCGGGTTGCACTGCATCGTGCCAGAGGGAGAATTATCTCAGGTATCGCTCTGGGTGTGCTTGGGGCCAAGGGAGATGGGACGTGAGCATGCTGTGCCACTGGGCTGGGGCTTTCCCACAGCAAAGATCGGTTCTTGAGGGAAGCAAACGGTGAATGCTGCATTCCTCAGGTAGATTTTCAGAGCCATGATCTGTCCCACACGGAACAAGGTATTCAGAGCATGATTTGCTGCTTTTCTCCTCTCTGACTTTTCTGTTTTCTTTCCCAATTCCTCCAGTCCATTGACCCTGGCCAGCAGTTCACCTGGGAGCACTCCAACCTCGAAGTGAACAAGCCCAAAAACCGTTACGCGAACGTGATTGCCTACGACCACTCGCGCGTCATCCTGCTGCCCATTGAAGGTACTTGTAGCATCTCTACTCCTACATGTTAGTGCTAGGCTGAAGCTGCTGCAGGGAAACATACGGTGCGTGCTCTTCTCCTTTCCCTGTTACCCTCCATTTATATTCTTCTCTTAGCATCTCCCTGGGAGTTTAGCAAGCAGGAGATACCTCCGTAAACCACGCATTTATTAAATTCTGATGACTGACATATTCCCTGGAGCTGCCATCTCTCATTCCAAGGGCTGGTTTGTCAAGAACCTGTCTTGCCTTTACTTGGAGATCCCTGCTCAATACGTTTCTGACTAGCAGGAAGAATTCAGACCACATAGTGCTTTAGAGAGAGCGGGAACAGGGCAGTGGGTGGCAATGGATGTGGAGTGTATCTGTACGGCGGATGAATGAGAAGTAAGCACAGGGCTAATTGTACATATGTGAGTGTCAGCAACATAGCAAAGATGTGGCTGCTGAGTTGAACAGACGTAAAGATTACTTGATATGCAGCTCCTGCTGCAGTCCTAGCCCCTAAAAGGCTAAGAATAAGAAAGCGTTAGCCTGGTAGGTCATAAACTGTTCCCTGAGCTTCTTACGTGAGTGATGGTGCAGTCAGAAAATTAACATTAAATTTCACAACTCGTGGCTCTTGACAGAGTGGCTCTGGTGCATGCTAGGATAAGAGAGGCTTTTGGTGGAGAGGAGTTTAATAGGGCACCTGCTTTGGTTGCTGCTGCCGAGATAACATTTGAGTTTCATTGTCTCGGGTTGTGTGTGGCTGTGCTGTACAAATAAAGTATTTAAGGCCAGTCTTGCATTGCCAAGAGCTGATCGTCTGAGCAGAGGGCATATGGGATGTCCTAATAACCCCCGGTGAATGTAAAGGTTAATTCAGAAGCCTTCGTGACAAGGGAATTGCTAGAATAATCTCCCTCTGCTGAGGTAACTCTGAGGGATGCGGGGAAGTGGAAGAGCTGTTCCTGGGGTAACAACAGATCATAGTGATTTGCCAAAAAGCTGCACAAATCTGGATTGGTCTTGTCTGCCATTAGAGGATTTTAAACATTTCTCATTGTGAAGATGACTGTGTTCTGGCTTGTTTTTCTTCTGAGATTAATATTGTATGAGCCAAGGAAAGCAAAGTCTTTTAAAAGTTGCCTTGTCATTCAAGGGAAAAGAGAAGAACACAAGTGTAGGAATGAAGGATGCTTTGGTCTGGTCTTGGCTCTTAGGAAAGCAGAAGCACGGGGCTGGATGCAGGCAGCAGTCCTAACTCTGCCCAGGTGGCATCGTGAGGGACCAATGGTGCAAGTATGATGGGCCAAGGTTTAATTTTCAAGTATCCGAGAGGTTCTGATGTGTCTTGGCTGGTGTGTTTCTTTCTACCAGGCTGTATTTTATGCTGAGGGGTGGAAGATGAAAGGAGTTGGAGGAATTAGTTGTTGCTTTCTCTTTGTTTTAAATCTGGATTTGTCAAGGCTGCAGATTGTCACTGTCTGCTTGGTCAGGAAGAAGCAGTGGCTTTAATTCCATGACTTCTCTGTAACTGGGCCTGTCACAGAGCGAAACATTGCAGGAGCTCATGACCACCATTTTAAATTACAGAGTGGACCCGAGGGGGCTGGAGAGGAGATTAATTCCGGAAGCTCAGCCTTGATCACATTGCTGCTGCTGCACAGCCGCCTTCCCTCCTGAAATTTCAGATTGGGAAGGAATGGGGGCAGGGAACCCTCCAGGAGTTTAATCAAAAGCCATTTCTACCAGCAGCTGAAATTACCAAGTACCCTTGAGGACTGGCAGGCAATTCAGCGTGGATTGCACCTTGCCAACAGAAGAAGCAATGTCTATTGCTACAGCAGGATGAAGACTAGCAACCCAATTTCATATTGGTACTGCTCCCTACCCTTGGCTCCCCCTCAAGACAGGAGTTAAGCATTCTGTACCGAGTTAATCATAGGTTAGCAGAAACCTGCCAACCTTGCCAGCCACTCTGCTGTAATTAGGAGTGGGTCAAATCGCCAAACAGTGCGGATCTTCCATGCCAATCTCAGAGGCTCTCTAAAGCTGAACCTGAACATCAGTGCTTGCCAGTGTCCATTTTAACTTCAGAGCAGTTTTCTCCTGCCATGTCCCAATCACCCTCTTCACTCTGGCAGTATCTCCTGCCACTCATATCGAACCCCTCAAGCAAGGACACAGGCAAGCAGCTGTAACTCAATAGCGTGTAACTCATGCGAATAGCAAAAAACCCTCACTCCTAAAAACGACAGCGGACAATTTAAAGCAAGTCAAAGCCTGTAATTTCAAAGCCTTACTGACTGAATCAAGCTTGGTTTTATTCCTTACTTTGTCCAGCTGTAGCTCGCTGCCTGGGATTAGACGATGGACTGCACAGTGCATCGACCATGCGTTTGCTGCCCAGACTCTGGGCGTTCTGGGACGAGGACTTGGTTTTGTCCTATTTGAGACCAGCGAAGCAAGAGCCCTAGGCCACGAATTTTGCTCCTATTAGCAACACCAGTAAGAAGACCATGGTTTCAAGGCTTGATATTCAGTCTCTTTAATATCTTTTGCAAGAAGTTATTTTTCTCCCTGCAATGCAGACCTTCGAGGCAGGAGCTTCAGCTGGGAAGAACTTGCAAAGAGCCTGTTACTCCCAGCTGTGATTCTAACCCACCAAGCCATGAAGGCTCTGGTGTTTTTGCAGGGGAATTCTCTCTAACAAAATTCCTGCAAAGATCTCCTCGTGCTTCCAACTATATAAAGTCCTGTGCGATTCACTAACTTGCTTTTGCTGATTTAATATAGGAATTGTGGGCAGTGATTACATTAACGCCAACTACATTGATGGCTACCGGAAGCAGAATGCCTACATTGCCACGCAGGGGCCTCTGCCGGAGACCTTTGGAGACTTTTGGAGGATGGTGTGGGAGCAGCGTTCAGCTACTATTGTTATGATGACTAAGCTGGAAGAGAAATCACGGGTAAGATGCATGAGAGGGATGACTAGTTAGTCATAATCCTGGGGGTTTGGAGGGTAGGGTTGGGGAACAGCAAATCCCTTTCATCTGCAGCCCACATTCATGTCAGTGGGGGCTTTCTGCCTGCTTTGCCAGCACCCTGAAAGTTCAGTGATTCATTGCTTTTAAAAAAAACCAAACCATTCACCCTGGAAAGCTGCAGGCTCCTTTACAACTCCAAGAGAAGAGGACACTCAATCCCATTGCATGCTTTGTAGGTCTGTCTCGGAGTTAATCATGTGGCAAGTTTCACATTCAGTTCTCTGGTTTAACAAGCCCTGGTACATTCACTCTAATCTTCAGGATCATTCCAGTCTATTGTCTACATGATGGATGTGGTGCATCAAAGCTTGTGCTTAGTCAGTAGGAGCTTTTCATGCCGGGTCCCTCCCTATCATGGTGCTCTGGAAAGACGTTTCTTGCACCTTCCCTGCCCTTTGCCACCTGGCCAGCTTCACTTGTAACAACATCAGGGCAGTTCTGGAACGAGCTTCCCCTGCAGCATAGGGTTTGTTCCAGCATCGAGCAATGCCTCCTGTCTTCCAGATAAAGTGTGACCAGTACTGGCCGGGCCGAGGTACAGACACCTATGGAATGATTCAAGTGACGTTACTCGACACCATTGAATTGGCCACATTCTGTGTTCGAACGTTCTCCCTTCATAAGGTAAGCTTTCTCCCGCTCTTGTTTTTTCCCTGGTGATGGGCTACGGCACACTCTCCGTACACAGCACAGGCAGGGTACGGCAGTGTGCTCGTACCTCACATTACTCTTGGTGCTCTTTTGACTTTGCAGAACGGCTCCAGTGAGAAGCGGGAGGTCCGCCAGTTCCAGTTCACAGCGTGGCCTGACCACGGTGTACCTGAGTACCCCACCCCATTCCTGGCTTTTCTGAGACGGGTGAAAACCTGCAACCCCCCTGATGCTGGTCCCATTGTGGTGCACTGCAGGTACTGATTTCCTTCCTAACCCTTGCATGGGGCCATCTGCAAGGGAGGCAAAAGTTCAGAAGGATGTTGATTTGCACCTAGGAGACGTGTACAGTCTCCTAGCGAGAACCCAGCAGGCGAGAGCTGTCCTGTAAAGTGGATTCTGAGCCAGCATCTGAGAAGGAGATTTGGGATTTTCATTGAGCGCAGAATTTCCTGAGATGATGAGTGGTTTAGTTTGCACCAAATCACTCAGACCTTGTTAGCCACGGGAAGCACCCTGCTCTGTACTGGCGTCTGGTTCTGTGTGTAGGGGTTGTTTCTTGTCACAGCGGGAAAGGAGGAAGATCAAGTGCAACCTAGGAAGCTGCTTGGTGTTGCTGCATCAGGTGTTTGGGAGACAGAGTTGCCTCAGCTGTCAAAGGAAGAGCTGACAGTGATTGAAAGAGGGGTTTTTTTGAGTGCTGCAGTCATTCTGATAATGACAAACTGAAGGCCCCTATGGGCAGGTAGCGTTCCCTAATTCAATTTACAACCCGAGGAGGAATGCTTGCAGCCTCAACTTAGATAAATCCCTGTGTTCCTCAGGAAGGTGTGGAGGAGCCTGCAGGTCCCTCAGCACTGAGGAAAGACATCTGAATTTTACAGGCAGCTGGGGAAAGCTAATCCTGCCTCTCTTAGAGGATGCCATTTAAACAGTCTTTGTAAGTGGGCAACTTATCACTAACCTTGCAGATGGCAATTATCGTGCACCTCTCAGAAAATGAATAGAGAGAGCTGTCAGCTCACAACGTGCAAGAACCAGCTCCCAGATCAGCTGCTAAATTTGTGCCAAAGCTCTAGTCACCTGCTTGGTTCAGGTGTTAGGCAGTCTAATTAACAGAGATCAAGGGGGCTTTATGAAAAAAGGGACTGCACTGAAATAGTAGAAGGAAACCCTTTATTAGCAGCTGCAAATGCATAGACCCACAGACCCCTGCTGATTCACAAATGCCATTACATGCAAGTTTGATGTTACCACAATGCACAAAAACATTTAGGAAAAGAGGTGAAGCATGTTACTCATTACAACATCAGTAGTTTCTCAGCTGCTGAAAGATCTGAGTGATTAAACATGCTTTTTAAGCTCTTAGATCATGCCACCCTTTTGTTCAAGCCTAGAGCCCCCTTCCTAGAATTGTCATAATTGTGTGTCTGCCAGGAGAGCTCCCCTGTCCTGGGGATGTCACAGATGAAGAGGCAGGAGAAACGCGGCAGATCAGTATGGAGGGGCAATAGGCATATCACCAGAGGCAACTTTTCATCTTCTGTCCTGTCCTTGGGTGACGTAAGACCAAACTTGGTTGTGAAAGTTTTGGCTAAACTGAGCCAAGGCTCGAAGCAAACCTCTGCATGTTGCAAACTCTTTGGGTCTAAGCCTGAGTACTTCTGCGTACAGACGGGCACAGAAGATGAAGGGATCTTTCCATCCTCTGGCTCTGATCCAGGAGCCTCTCCCTGCCATTGTGGCAGCGCTGGCCCAGGTGGGGCTCAGATAAAGAGCTTTTTAGGTTCCAGTGCAGGCTTTACTGGCCCCAGTGCAGCACTGTGCTCACACACTAGAGCACCAGTGACTCGGAGCAGCAGTGACTTTGGTATCACCACTGTCCTCCTCCGCACGCTGTAGAACTGTCCCAAACCCTCCAACACTATCAAGAGCAACACACAGAGGTGAGTGGGCACTAGCACTTGCCAGCACCAGTTTCATTAATACAACATCATTTGTGAAACGGCTGGACCCACACATTTGGCTCATTTGCCAAGATTTCCTTTGCCTCAGTCCATCAATAGCTGTGTTCACAAGGGCTTGGTTTCTTCCCAGTCACTGGGTGTATTTATTGTTCACTCTCTGCCCTGTGCATCTGTTTCTAGCCTGTGTTTATTGCTGCTTGTGGCAGTGGAAACATCCTCAGTCGCGGGTGGCCTTTTGGAATGTCTTTCTTCAGTGGCAGAATAGTCCATTGCTTCATTTTTTCCCTTTTCTTTCCAGTGCGGGCGTTGGACGGACCGGCTGCTTCATTGTGATCGACGCCATGCTAGAGAGGATAAAACATGAGAAAACAGTGGACATTTATGGGCACGTCACCCTCATGAGGTCACAGCGCAACTACATGGTACAGACAGAAGACCAGTACAGCTTTATACACGATGCCTTGCTTGAGGCTGTTGCTTGCGGCAACACAGAGGTCCCAGCTAGGAATCTCTACACCTACATCCAGAAACTGGCACAGATTGAAGTCGGAGAGCACGTGACAGGCATGGAGCTGGAGTTCAAGGTAATGGTAGATGCTTGAATGGGGACAGTAGTCACTGGGGAAGGCTCTGTATTCCTCACAGGAGCTTTGTTCTGCTGGCATTCACGCGTAGCAGACAGGGAGTCTTTATAAGGCTGATGGGAACTTTTTGGTTCCGTGTTAGAGAAGTAATTACTTTTCTGACTTATGCTGCCGCAGTTCCCTAGGGAGACCTACCTGCCACTGCAGGAGGCTTGGCTGGTCATTTCAAATCCAGACTGAATTTGCTCACTCTTTAGGTTGGGTTTTTAAGCTTTTTTTTTCTTTGAAAGTTTTGCTGGTGGAAAGGTCTCGGACTCTGTCCCCACTCCCCCAAAAAAAAAAGGAGGGCACACAAGGCAGAACAACATGGTGGAACATGGAGGGCAAGTTAAGTGGGCTGGCATAGGGCTCAAGAAAAAAAAAAAAGGCGGCTGAACAAATGGTTGTGACTCTGCTTTTGCCTTCAGCGACTCGCAAACTCCAAAGCCCACACCTCCAGGTTCATCAGCGCCAACCTCCCATGCAACAAATTCAAGAATCGCCTTGTCAACATCATGCCATATGAGACCACACGGGTCTGCCTTCAGCCCATCAGAGGAGTGGAAGGGTCAGACTACATCAATGCCAGCTTTATTGATGGCTACAGGTAAACAGCACCTTGCTGCCCTGCTGTGGTCAGGGAGTTTTCTGTGCATGAGTCTGAGGATGCAGAAGGACTAAGGGATGGACTAGGTCTTAACATGGGTAATCTATTGTTCTGTCCCCTCACCTAGCTATACCGCACACAGGGGTGCAGTGCTAGAGGGAAATTCCCTCTTGCTGATGGCCAGCAACCCACACATAGCCTCAAATACAGACTTCTGATAAGCTTTATTCTCTGTGGTCTTAAAATTACTTATCCCCTAAAGCAAACCAAACCCTTCTCCAGTTGCAGGTCCTGAACATAGAGTATCAGTGAGAGGGTGGATTTTTGCCATTGGGCAGTTTCTAAAAACAGATTAACCTTTTTATTACTTCTGGGATTTGGGGACGTTGCAATTCTGACAGCTTCACTCAGGCAATACATGCCATGTGCTCCAGCCCTAGGAGCTGCAGCCCTCCACTGGTGTGCTCAGAGGCTGGCCAGCTAAAGCTGAGCCCTAACTGAGGGAACAAAGCAACCCCATGTGCACGTTTCCTCACCTCCAGGTGCATGCAGCAGTCCTGGCCCTGGCTGTGGCACCAGCCTGGGGTTAGGGCATCTCTGTGCCTGGCAGTTGAATTCTTGGTGCTATTCAGGCCCAGAAAACATGGATTCTGGTTCCAAGAATCCGGCATGCAGCATGTTATACCTTCTTCCATATAGGGCATCATGCGAGAGTAATCTGGATTTACCCCTTGGAAACAGTATCTAGAGAAAGTTTCACCATTGGCTTTTTTTTTTTAAGCCATTAGCACCAAAGTCACCTCCCACCCCTTCAGACTTTGGACTGTTCTAGTTCTTCCCCAGCATTTCCATTTGTTCTCCTACTTGTCAGCCTTTGTATGCATTTCCCAAAGCTTCTGCCCAAACACTTCTCCACACCCCCTCGACCCACCCCTTGGGTTTGTGCTGTCTTTCAGACAACAGAAGGCATACATTGCTACTCAAGGGCCACTGGCAGAGACCACTGAAGATTTCTGGCGGATGCTATGGGAGAACAACTCCACCATTGTCGTGATGTTGACTAAGCTTCGGGAGATGGGTCGGGTAAGTGCGCACTAAGGACAAGCACGGGGGGGAAGCCTGCAGCACAGGGACTAACAGAGGCCTTTCTTTCCCCTTGGCAGGAAAAGTGCCATCAATACTGGCCAGCAGAGCGCTCTGCCCGGTACCAGTACTTTGTAGTAGATCCCATGGCTGAATACAACATGCCTCAGTACATCCTGCGAGAATTCAAGGTCACTGATGCCAGAGTAAGTGCTGCACAACGTGCAGTCTATGCTTGTGAGGGTTATAGCTGGGGCTGGGCTGGAGTGGTTCAATCCCATGCAGTAGGGAAGGTGGCTTACATTAAAAAAAAGGGAGTTTGGCGTGTTTGGGCTCCTGTAAGAAAGACTGAGGTCTAAACGCTTTCTTTCTGAAAGTCTGGGATTATCATCAGTGGAGGAGAGCTTAGCTGTGTTGAGAAATAGAACACACAAACACAGATTGTACTTGAAGATATCTTCTTATAAATTGAAAGTTGTTTTCTAACCTCTGCTCACTAATCACAGTAGTGAGTCACTTTGTTAGAGATGTACCAGGCTTTTGGTTTTAATTGGAGCTTATTTGAGATTAAAGCAGAAAATAGTATCTCCCCAAACAGCTAATAAAAAAACAGACTTGCAAAGGATACTCTGCACTCTACAGAAAATGTACGCTTCTCTGGCTTTAAGAGGAACTGCCCTTACTCATATTCGAAGAGGCACATTCACTCAATCTTAGATTCAATGTCAGATTTCTCCTCCAAAGGAACATTTCAGTACCTTCTGAAATTTGTTTAGCAAATGTAACTCTCACTCTCAGAGTAGAGTCCTCTGCTTTTGAGGTTGCCAGTATTGTAGAACTTGATAATTCTATTTGCAAGGTTGAGAAGGAGGATGCCTCATCAGTCCTGGTAGAACAAGATTTATCTTCCTGTCAGCTGTAATTCTGACACTACGGCAACTCTTCCTCAAGATTGATAGAGAGGCCACCTCACCTTGAATGTTCCTTTGCTGAAGACTCCATCTGTGTTGTCTTTGCAGTGGTCAGAGCTTTCAGCACACCTGCCAGGAGTATAGAGCTGTACTGACAAGCCGACTCCAGAAATGTCAACTGCAACATGAGCAGCTGCATCATTAT